ACGCATTTAATAAGGATTCCAAAATGGTATAACACTTAGAAGATTACTCGTTAACTTATGCACAATTTTTATTTGAAGAAAAACTGATGACAATTTTTCAAAATTTCCTAATTAAACAGCGATTATGAAAACGCACAAGGACCCTTAAGGATAACTGTTTGCACAACAGTGGGCGTCAAAATGCTGCTGATGATGATTTACCTTTACAGCAAATGCTCAAACTGTTTTCCTTCAGCCGCAATACACGCTCGACATCTTCTTAAAAAAGATCGGGTTATTAAACGAGCGAATCCACGGTTATTAATAAACTCAGTCTTTGCCGTAGCTCAGCTACATTTTGAATCGGCTTGAAATACACTTTTTCTTTTACAGTTCCTCAGTAAAAAAAAATCTAACGGATTCAAATCTGGTGACCGGGCTGGCCACGGTATTGTACCAGACCGCCCTATCCATCTGCCTGGAAAGTTTTGATCAAGATACTCTCTCACTGAGAGAGCATAGTGCGCTGGGCAGCCATCATTCTGAAACCACATGTCCCTGTAAATACTCAGTGGCACGTCCTCCAATAAATTTTCTAAATGATTTTGCAAAAAACCTAAATAAACCTCAGCAGTCAAAGTCTCTGGGAACTCAAACGGACCGATTATTTTACCATTTAAAATTCCTGTCCAATGGTTTATCTTGAAGCGATATTGAGATTTATCTTCTCCCATCAAACGTGGGTTTGCTACGTGCCACTCGTGTAAGTTATGCAGGTTCATGTATCCATCTTTCTTAAATGTGGTCTCATCTGACCATAAAATTTTTTCAAAGAACCGTGGATCTTCCCTGTGTCTTTCTAACATTGTGCGACAAAAAGCAACTCGGGGCTCATAATCCCGGGGCAGAAGAGCTTGAACACGCTGTACGTGGTATGGATGGAGCACGTTTTTGCAAAATTCTATGGCCTGAACTTTTAGGGACACCTGTTTTTAGTTCTATTGCACGCACTGAAGTACTCGGGTCTTCTTCGACAGCTCCTAGCACCACGTCTTCGTAAGGAAGGAAAGATCTTCCCTCACCGTGTGATTGGTTTGGTAGTTGGCCCTCTGAGAACAGTAAGCGGTGCACATTTGTGAACACTCGATGATCTGGATGACGAGCTGCATTCGGGTACCTCTCACAGTAAAGTCTCGCTGCAGCACTAGCGTTGCATCTGCATTCCCCATAAATCAGGTGCATGTTAGCATATTCTTGTACGGTGTACACGGTCATAGCGGCACTGCACAATCACACTATCAAAGATAGTCTAAGGAAAGTAAATGTTGTTTTGAAGAGCAATTAAACAGTCCAAATCCAAATCACAAGCGATCAACAGTCCAGTTCATGAATCCAAAATTAGTAACAGTACGAAATCAACAAGCACGAACATGTAAAGATGCGCAGTAAACGAAGGAGTACTGATCGGTATCAAAGTGTGCAATAGCAAGTAAGTGATGTGCTTCATCCATACCACATACAGCGTGTTCAACCTCTCCTGCCCCGGGATTATGAGCCCCGAGTTGCTTTTTGTCGCACAATGTTAGAAAGACACAGGAAAGATCCACAGTTCTTTGAAAAAATTGTATGGTCGGATGAGACCACATTTAAGAAAGATGGGTACATGAACCTGCATAACTTACACGAGTGGCCCCTAGCAAACCCACATTTGATGAGAGAAGATAAATCTCAATATCGCTTCAAGATAAACCATTGGACAGGAATTTTAAATGGTAAAATAATCGGTCCGTTTGAGTTCCCAGAGACTTTGACTGCTGAAGTTTATTTGGATTTTTTGAAAAATCATGTAAAAAATTTATTGATGGACGTGCCACTGAGTATTTACAGGGACATGTGGTTTCAGCATGATGGCTGCCCAGCGCACTATGCACTCTCAGTGAGAGAGTATCTCGATCAAAACTTTCCAGGCAGATGGATAAGGCGGTCTGGTACAATACCGTGGCCAGCCCGATCACCTGATTTGAATCCTTTAGATTTTTTTACTGGGGAACTGTAAAAGAAAAAGTGTATTTCAAGCCGATTCAAAATGTAGCTGAGCTACGGCAAAGACTATTGGAAGCAGCTGAGTTTGTTAATAACCGTGGATTCGCTCGTTTAATAACCCGATCTTTTTTAAGAAGATGTCGAGCGTGTATTGCGGCTGAAGGAAAACAGTTTGAGCATTTGCTGTAAAGGTAAATCATCATCAGCAGCATTTTGACGCCCACTGTTGTGCAAACACTTATGCTTAAGGGTCCTTGTGCGTTTTCATAATCGCTGTTTAATTAGGAAATTTTGAAAAATTTTCATCAGTTTTTTTTCAAATAAAAATTGTTAACCAGTAATCTTCTAAGTGTTATACCATTTTGGAATCGTTATTAAATGCGCCAACTTTTAAGGTTACTTGCCAAACTCTCGTAGTACATTTTTTCCAGTACAGCCAGTTAAAGTTGAGCAAAGTTTTACTTTGGAATACTTGGTTGGGAAATAAGTGGCAATTTTTCCTGAACGAGAAAAGTTGGCAGTAAGGTTGAGACACCAGTTTGAAGATGCATTATTCATCATTACATTGTGAAAATAAAATCCAAAAAAGTTAATATTTGTAGTAACAGGAGTTGACAGACTGCCGTAGGGTGTGAAATTTCTATATCTTTTTCAAAGACCTATAATTTTCGACTTGACGTCGACTTCTGGGACACCCTGTATATAATTATATACATTTTTAGAGCATTACTATTATTTCTTAAGAAGCTACGATCGCAGAAACAATGCACAAAAAATGCACAGAGTCAATCGTCCAGCAGATGCTTATTTGGTATAAGTTTTGTTGAAAACTCGCATGATGCCACCCTGCGAGATACGGCAATGGAGCAACCATCCGAAAACGGTCTTTTCACACATCATTGAGCGCTAGGCCATCAGGGCGGCGGGTGCGGTTTAAACTTCGGTTCTGCGGTTTTCCTAATGAATATCCGATAATGGAAAACATTCGATGTATCGGACAATTTTTCGCTCAATCGCGTTACAGAAAGATTCGAAGATGACATTTCCTACGGATACTTTGTTGGAGAGAAGACAAGACAGGTCCCTACCTGCGATCCATGAAAATGTTCAGACCACCAAGGATACTGACTGATTACAAACAAATAACATCTTGTACAGTGGGCATGCTAGAAAGGGTAGTATTATTTTGAGCTATCCCTGTCAATCTTGGTAGATCATTGCAAACACTGGACCAAGAAGAAACGATTCTAAGTTTCAGGATGGCAACGGTAATCATTTCCAAAAAGATATATGTTAAATAAATGTTTCAACCTTCTCGATATGATCACGCATTAATTTTCCTAAGACTTCTTGAAAGGTAGTACTCGTCACTAGAGCCAATCAACCGACATCCTTCAAATAGCCTTAATCTACAAAGTATCCCAATATTCTGTAGACATCGAAGTAACACGTACGAGCCTCTTCCCACTTCAAGATTTGTACCAAAATATGGCTTTATAAACTAAACATGACGAAACTATTTACTTCTAAAACAATTTATTTTCTCAAAAACATTTTAGATACACTCTAGTCGTAAAAAATGCATATTTGAAGTCACTTAGACCTATAACTAATAGAACATCTGAACAAATAAACAATGTGCGAATAAATGCGCGAAGTTAACAAAGCAACAATTGAAAGATTACCATTGGGTAACATCACCTTTATTTTTTATTACGGCTGAAATTCTTTGGGGCATAGTGTTAACCAAGTTTTAGCAAAAATTTGGTGTAAAACAATTCCATATTTCTTGACGCTTTTGTCTCAGTTCGGTGATTCTACGAGCAGGATGTTGTCGTAGAACCTGTTTCATCTCGTACCACAAAGTTTCAATAGGTGACAGATCTGGACTGCTACAAACCCATTTCAAAAGAGGTACATTATTTTCTACTTTAAACGTATTCTGACAGCTGTGATTGATAAAAACAATTGTCATGGCTTTTATTTTTCACAGCCACCTATGCGTTATAGACTTATTTTGCATTGAAATGAAAATTGATATGCTGTAATTGCAACATGTGTTATTTTTATGCTGCAAATTTGATTAGGAAGTGATAAAGTTGGTGTTTTCTACTATGTATTATCAAAATATTCACTGTTAATATCTTAAACCTATAACACCCTGCCGCATTTTTATTATTTGTGTTTGATAAGAAAAAACTAAGATTTCAATAGTTGGGCCAACTGAAGTGGGAAGGGGCTCGTATTTTCAAACTTAAAGCAAGTCGATTGGACATAACTTACTCTCTATGCTTTTGCACTTTTGTGCTTCGTTTGTTCATTAAAGAGCGTCAAACCTTTCTTTTTAAAACACATATTTGACTAAAACCACCCCTAAATAAGTTATGGTAGAATTTTTTCGCAATTATCTCAACGACTCTGATTTTTTATCCGATAGAGCCTTTCATTTCCTTCATTTTTTGTTTCTTGCGAAAACTGGCTATCTCGCTAAGTTTCCGAGAAAGAAAATATTTTGTTGTTGGTTTCGACAAAAAATTCTCATTAGATCAAGTCTAAAAATCTAGTAGGCATACAGTTGGTGAAAATGTGGGATGTTCTTATACTCGTAGTGTCAGATTATTTTTCACGAGCTTCATGAACAATGGGTTTTAAACAAAAAGCAATTTTCAATAGTCCAGTCGACATATTGGAGCACCCTGTATAAATGGTTGCTATCAACCAATAACTCGCACACATGCCCTGATTTGAACACAAAACACAACACCGGTTAGTGTCACTTGGTTGTTCAGCAGCTGGAAAGCTTCTGAATTGAGGTGTTGATGCTTGGCAGCTGTGATCTCATCGACAACCTTCTTTTAGATCCAATTGCAGATCGCACCACTTAGGCAAACTCTCACCAACTACTGTAAGGGTTGCCAGATTTTAAATGTCGGTCTCTATTGCCAACGTTTTCTACCTGCAAAGCTGTCTTTGACCGAGTCTGTCATCAACCGTCAAGCTGACATCTTCATTGAATGTTCTTCTTCACTCTCCTGCTCATCACACTGAAAGCATCATCGGCGCTGGGCGATTGCGCCGAAGAATGGCCAGATTGCGACAAGGGCAGGAATACAGTATGTCAGCGAGAGGAAGACTGTAGCGCGGAAGATGAATGTGAGGCAGGTCCGATGAACTACCATATTAGGAAGAAACTGGTGGACGTCCACAACCGGTTGAGGAATCAGTTTGCAGGAGGTGATCCCAAGATGCGCTCCTTCAACGTATCGAACATGATGGTTCTCAGCTATGACAGTGACTTACAACACACGGCAGACTGCCACATCAATAGGTGCCAGTGGGGCCACGATGATTGCAGGTGGGTCTCAAATAGCCTTTGTTAATAATAGAATTTTACTTGCAATGTGTGATTTCCCATGTTTCTGCTTGATTGGAGTCCTTTTTGATTGATGATAGAGATGGTCTTGAGGAAAAGGCTATAGAATCTGCAAAACGAGATGGACATTCCTAAACAAAAATAATATCGAAAAAGGAACTGATATTTGGAGAGACGAGCCGCTGTTGTTTCTAGAAGGACTAAGAGGATCAATGTTAGAGCTCATTGCCATGTTTCAACAAGAAACCAACACTCGTTGCCAAGGCGTCAGAGGCATATCACTTCGGTTTGCTATCTTGAAGGCCAAGAACTTGCTACAGAATTCAAAAAACCACGAAGAGATATCTTCAGAAGACATGTTAAATGAAATCCCACGTCTAAGGAGCTTTTCACAAGCGCCAAACGTTCCTGGGGAAGAGGCTCTGGAGAGGAGTCCCTAGAGACTACTGCAGTTAGCGTTACGTTTCTCTGTGAGAGTAGTTTTTCTAAGCTGAGCTCGGCCCTCTGGCTTAGCCATTTCATTTACAAACAAAGAACCTGACGAAAATCTCAATTATGCACAAGAACGCCTCGTACATCTTACGAGTAGAAACCCACTGCCTGACATAGACAACTGAAATGCCATTAATGTGACTGCGACTGTCAAGTTGATACCGATCGAAATTTTCCAATGGATCTCTATGTTGTTCTCATCTTCCTCCTTCTGGAGATCTCGTTGGTGTTTGCGGGTTGCGAAGACGAATGGCCATCATGTCACAAAGGGCGAAACACGGTTTGCGAAAGAAACGAAGAATGTGGCGCGCTAGGAAACTGTGAAACTGGTCCGATGAATCCTGAAACTAGGAAGAAGCTAGTGGACACCCACAACATACTGAGGAATCAGATGGCCGGAGGTGATCCAAAAATGTCCTCGATCAAAGCCGCCAACATGAGGGTGCTGAGCTATGATACTGGATTGCAACATACTGCAGCATGTCACATAAACCGATGCAAGTTTGAGCATGATAAGTGCAGGTAAAGCTTAAGCTCGCGTGTCTTGTGCCACAACCACACATCGATCATCGATTATCGATGTCTAATCGTATACAGGAGTGGGCTCAGCAACACATTACATATTAATTTTTTTCTTATTGTCAATAAAATTTCGTGATGTTATCCTTTCATTCCTGATGTGTGTGTAACACTCCTAATGTCACTGGGTATACAGGGTGTTTCAGTTTATTGTTGCGTATCTTTAAGATTCGATAGAACTTTTAAAATTAATGCATAAACATGGGTCGAAAAATGCGTGGCTTCCGAAATACAGGGTGTTTAAATTTACTTTCTAAAATAGTTTTTTTTAAATATTTCAAACAATATTTGATGTATAATAGTGAAAATTGGTACACAAGGGTTTTTTGGTACGACAAAACGAACCATGGGCATAGTTTTACTGTAGCCGCTAGAGGGCGCCCTCTACTGTACCTGTAGTGTATTAAAATGACCGAAAATGTTTTCTTAGTGCAATTTTTTTCGTTTTGAATGAAAAAACTGATTCTCTGCACTTTTCAACATGAAAAAGATCTCTTGTGAATTTTTGTTATAGTTAGCCGTTTTTGAGATATTTCGATTTTTAAGGTTCGATGCATTTTTAATTATTTATGATAAAATAACGTTAAAAAGTCAGAATCTCAATAATTTTTAGAAGTAGGCTGTTTTGTCGTACCAAAAAACCCTCGTACACCAATTTTCACTGTTATACATCAAATATTGTTAGAAATATTTAAAGAAAAACTATTTTAGAAAGTAAATTTAAACACCCTGTATTTCGGAAACCACGCATTTTTCGACCCATGTTTATATAGACTTTATGCATTAATTTTAAAAGTTCTATCGAACCTTAAAGTTCTGCAACAATAAACTGAAACACCCTGTATATCGTGATTAATTTCTGAATATCAATAAAGGCGGTTTATTTTTATTATTGCCTATTTATTTCAAGGGGAACGAAGAAGTTCAAGACCGCAGGGCAAAACCTATACATGAGCACAGCCAGATCGAGCGGCCAAAAGCTGGCGTTCTCGGACCCGCAAAAATTCGCCCAAAACGGCGTCGAGTCCTGGTATAGTGAAATAGAAATTGCCAATCCAGCAGATATAGCAGATACGTATAAATTCGTTCCAGGGACAGGGCACTGGACCCAGATGATATGGGCCGAAACTACACACATAGGTTCGTTAAGAGTCATTTTATGTGTCTGGGCGTTAAGTGAGCGTTTATGGCCCGCGGCGTAGAACGAGAGTCCAAGGTGCAAGGCGTCGCATAGTGGTCTAGAATACCCAAAAATCAGTCAAAAAGTACAACTTCTGTATAGTGTATTTACACCCAAGAATGGATGCGCGATTGCCAAAAGCAAGGGCGGCGTACAGGGCTACGCTAAGCAAGCTGAATACGAAAACACGAGCACGCAGTGATACACGCGACGGTCGGTGGCCTGAATGCAACACTGCCTGCCCTGCCCCTGCCCCGCGCATTATGCCGCCAGGCGACCGCTTGAAATTTAATGGCGAATTGACCAATAAGAGGCGTTTTCCCCACCTGTTACCGAGAGATCACGCGCTAACTGTTATTATTTACATCTCATCTTGAATTTGGATTCAGTTTAGTTCAAGTTTGGTACGAAGGGGTTTCTGCGGTCACCGATTTCAAACCTGGCGTTGAAATAAAATATTATGATATTTGATAGGAGACAATATTAAGCGGTGATCTTTTGTTGTTTTTTAACTCCCCTCTCGAGTAGGGATCGGGCCGTTTCGCGTTGGGGTGGTTTTTCGATTCTTTTCCCGGTCGCCTATACGCTTTATTAGTAAACGATACCGTTCCGAATATAACGGAGCTACGGTCCTAGCGTTTTTTGCATTAGAAAGCCCAGATATCGAACCCTTAGAACGCATCTTTTTCCATTTCTTTATTCCTTACCGTTCAAAAGTCTCGATTTTTTGAAATTCCTTGACAAAATGGTACTTTTCGAAACATCTTTGCTTTACTTTTTTTCATACTTTCGATTGAAGTTTTGCAAAGTGTTATAGCGCCTTCTTATGCTTTTGAAACGCTATATTTTTTTTAGTTTCCGAGAAAAAATGCAAGTATATTTCTCGACACTCTTGTACAACGTCTGAGATTGCACCACAAAAAAGTTATAACAAATTACTATAAGCTTCAAGTTTGACGATCTGCCATAACGAAGGTAGAGTAAACAACATTTATTTTTCATGGCAGACTAGTTATTCCAAGTGCCAACTGCCAAAGATACTAAGTGACATATAAATACGAACACCCAGTTTAAATGGTTTTATTTTAATAAAATTTTGTATAAGTACTTAATGAAGCATAATAAGTAAATGATAAAAATTTCAAAATGATTGCACTGCTTTAAAGCCCTTTGACCTTTAATAACGTGTGGATGCACCCTGATGTGTTACGCATTCTCCAACGCGCCTAGGCATACTTCTGATCAGGTGGTCAATGTCCTCCTGTGGTATCTCATTCCAGGCAACCACCAACTCCTCTCGAAGTGCTTCTAGAGTCTGAGGAGGACGTTGCAAATTGAGCAATCTCCTATCCATCATATCCCACACGTGCTCAATTGGGAATAAGTCGGGAGATCTTGGTGGCCATGGTAACAATGTGACATCATTATGTTGAAAGAAGTCTATTGTGACTCTTGCAACATGTGGTCGGGCATTATCTTGTTGGAAAGTTGGATCTGCCAGGGTGTCAAGATAGGGTAAAAGATGGGGTTCTAGAACTTTATATGTCACTTAGTATACAATGATAACTTTCATCAATTTCTATTACTTCCATTTTTTTACTTTTTGCTAGCCTTTTGGGCATCCTGCACCGCAGGGTTCTAACACGCCAAGAGACATAAACGCTTACTGCGCCTGGGATACAATACAAAATTTTATCTACGACCGGTCCTCAAGTGGACATATAGTAGATATCAATACATCGACCTGATGCCGGTATAAATACGGACAGCTCTTGTAGTGAGCAAGCATAAGTTAACTCAAAGGTGACAGGCACTACGGTTACTTTATTGCCCTAGGGCGTAAATCATCAAGCAGTTACACCCGGTCATAGATAAATACATTATGTCCTGTTTCTTTTGTTTCACATGTTTCTATTGTTGGCAGGTTCACCTTTGTCTAACCAAAAAATCAAAATTTGAATCCTGTTTTTGAAACTACACTGTCATAAGTCATCAGGTGTAGAACGACGTGTGTGTAATTCTTACAAAGAAATGGTTATTTCAGAATTGGTGGAAGAAAGTCCTTTTTAGGTGGTTTTATCACTTATTGGCTAAGCAATATCATTGGGTCCGAATGATATTTTGGCGTTTACATAGTCTGTATGTACTTCATTATTATTTGAAAATCGCATAAACTACTAATATCCTAATGATCATTATTTGGTAACGTATGTTATGGTAAACGGAATTCGTTTCATTTTGCTGAGAGCAACGTTCCTTGCTCGTCATACTTGCAAAAACGATTCACTTCTCTTTTTTTTTTTGGCAGCTTTAGGACCCAATCCATGCAGCCAGAAACTAGGTTGTTATATTTTACATTTCTAATTATGGTCAAACACACGACGTCACAACATCCATGGCCAAGGCGAGATTCGAACTCGCGGCCCGGCCGACCGACTGATCAGTAGCACGACAATTCACTTCTCTTAGAAGCATAAAGATCTGACTTATTGCCAGATAGACAGTACGACTGGACCAAAAGCACCACAGCAATGGAAACATTCGCGGAACAAAAAAGGCCAAAGAAGAAGATATTTATGAATAAAATCAACCACAGGTTGTGCAACGTCCGGTTCGACTGATAGCAAACACTATTCCTATCTGAACTGCAACTATGGGCCAGGTGGAAATATCGTTGACGTGAAACTATTCGAGCATGGAGATCCTTGCACAAAATGTCCCGAAGGACTGAAATGTAATGAACAGTACTCGAACTTATGTGGTGAAGAAGACACATCCATGCTCGACGTCGACTTCGGTGCTGGTGATGGTGGTAATGGAGTGGAGATCAAATCCGGCAGCTTTGGAACGATCCTCTTGACAGTTCTTGTTGTGTTTACACTGATGTGATACGTCAGCAAATAGATGTCAGCAATTTCATGTCATTTATTTGGCGCCTGGACCAGAGGTTGTAACCTCAATCAAGACATTACCAGATGAGTGTCACTCCTATCTGAACTGCAACTATGGGCCAGGTGGGAATATCCTTGACGTGAAACTATTCGAGCATGGAGATCCTTGCACAAAATGTCCCGAAGGACTGAAATGTAGTGAACAGTACTCGAACTTATGTGGTGAAGAGGACGCATCCATGCTCGACGTGGACTTTGGTGCTGGTGATGGTGGTAATGGAGTGGAGATCAAATCTGGCAGCTTTGTAACGATCCTCTTGACAGTTCTTGTTGTGTTTAGACTGATGTGATATGTCAGCAAATAGATGTCAGCAATTTCATGTCATTTATTTGGCGCCTGGACCAGAGGTTGTAACCTCAATCAAGACCTTACCAGATGAGTGCTCTTGTCACTCGACATCAACAAAGCTTCTAGTCCGGACATGAGTCCTGCTGTTGTACTGAAGAGATGTGCGGTGGAGTTCTTTCGCGTCTCTTCCAGATATCTTTCGAATCCGGCATTTTTCCAGAATACTAAAAAATACAATCAATTCCATCCACAGCCTTTCTGATAATAGGACATGGAGAGTTTCAGAGTGAAAAGCCGATCTCGGCCGGTGAACTGGATGAAAGAAGACTAACAACGAGTCCTTTTCTGACTAGAGACCTGGAGGTTATCTCAGTATCACAGTTGTACGAACACTGGCAATACAGCAAAACAACTACAAGACTTTGCGCCAGTTTCATACACGTACGCAACACTACCGACCTGTATGTCGGTGACAGAAACCTACATCTGCCAGTCTGATTCGATGCAACGTTCAAGTGTCACCCATCGCATGGGTGCCTCGTCACTCAAATTTGGATGATTGCTTAATGGGATAAAAAAACGTTGTGTACGGTTGGTTATGATAGCAGAGATGGAACGCTCCATTCAGTATTTGTAGTACCACAGTAGACTACTACCTAGTTCAATCTTTCTATTCTACAGTAACGGTTGCTGTTAGATTTCTTTTACTTCCTAAGCTACTGGGCGAGGAAGTATCGTTATTTCGAGAATCTTAGAAGATGAGAGAAGATGGTTTTTCGATGTTACATGACTTGATCATTGAAAAATCTGCAAGTCTGTTTGACTGGCAGTTTGACTGTCTGTCCCCTAGTCATTGCCGGTTCAGATGACTCATCTATCTGCGGCGCACAAAACTGATGCGGGAAAGGACAACGTTGTCAGATGGACAGTAACAACCGGTAGTGTACGCACCTGTTTAAATGACCTGATCCGTTTAATTTCTCGGTTAACATGTTCCTAACTGTCTCTTCTCAGAGGATTCAAATTGGGCTGACAGTTGTTCCTTTATGAACTGATGGCGGCGATGCTTAGGATGTACAGGGTCAACCTACTGGACGCAATTTTTCCACATATACTAAGTGACATATAAATCCGAACACCCAGTTTAAATGGTTTTATTTTAATAAAAATTGGAGAATGTATTTATCTTACTGTAAATAACAAATTTTCAGCCTTATCAGTTGGACATTCCTGTTTTTATACTGCTTTTTTTAATTCACTAACGCTCTAAAAATGAATATTTCAGCCGCAGTAAAGAATCAACGTTGGTGGATTTTGGTTCTTGACATCCTTTACGATCGGTTACGATGCCTACAGTACGGAGACCTGTACGATTTCGTCAACTTAGTGAGTTTGATAGAGGCCGTATAGTGGGAGTTCGGGAAGCTGGACTTTCTTTTTGGGCAGTTGCAGTTAGAGTGCAAAGAAGTGTAGACAATGTGGTTAGGTGTTGTCAGGCATGGCTTCGAGAAGGCCGTACGCAAAGAGCAAGGGGCACTGGACGCCGCCGTAGAACAACAGACCGTGAAGATCGCCGCCTAAGATTATTGGCCTTAAGGGACCGTTTCTCCACCACCGGGTCCATTGCAAATGAATGGTTTGCAGAACACGGAAGACCTATTGGCATGCGAAGTGTTTACCGACGAATGAGAAGTTTTGGCTTGTTTTCTTTAACTCGAGAATACCGACGTAATCGCCTTGAGTGGTGCAGACAACGGTCACTCTGGGATCAGGAATGGAACAGTATTGTCTTTAGTGACGAGTCTCGATATTGTTTAGGCATGCACGATGGTCGTGCCAGGATTAGAAGGCGACGTGGTGAAAGGAGGAATCCACAGTTTTTTCTTGAAAGACATGTTCATCACACTGTTGGAGTTATGGTTTGGGGTGCTATAGCTTATGGTTCCAGGTCACCTTTAATCTTCATCAGAGGTAACATGAACGCGCAGCGTTGTATCCACGAAGTTCTAGAACCCCATATTTTACCCTATCTTGACACCCTGGCAGATCCAACTTTCCAACAAGATAATGCGCGACCACATATTGCAAGAGTCACAATAGACTTCTTTCAACATAATGATGTCACATTGTTACCATGGCCACCAAGATCTCCCGACTTATCCCCAATTGAGCACGTGTGGGATATGATGGGTAGGAGATTGCTCAATTTGCAACGTCCTCCTCAGACTCTAGAAGCACTTCGAGAGGAGTTGGTGGTTGCCTGGAATGAGATACCACAGGAGGACATTGACCACCTGATCAGAAGCATGCCTAGGCGCGTTGGAGAATGCGTAGCACATCAGGGTGCATCCACACATTATTAAAGATCAAAGGGCTTTAAAGCAGTGTAATCATTTTGAAATTTTTATCATTTACTTATTATGTTTCATTAAGTACTTATATAAAATTTTATTAAAATAAAACCATTTAAACTGGGTGTTGGGATTTATATGTCACTTAGTATATAATAACACTGTAGATCTTTGAACTATTCAGCTATTTTTTTTTCGTTCACCACCAGGATATTTATTTTTTTACATCCGTTCAATAAACATGGATTATTAGAGAATTACAAATTACACTTTCTCACCTTGGAATGTGTGAATCCCACACTACGACGTGTTAAACAAAAGAAATGGTATGGTGTGGACCTTTTGGCCAGGGTTTCTAAGGTTGCCAATATTTTTTTGACTAAGATTTTGCCAATCTTACTTCACTAATTGTTCGTAACATATCAACTTCGTTTTTGTGAAAAATTATTCGACTAGTTGCAAAACTATTTTTTTGTGTTGTACGTGACTACATCTAAACATGTGATTTTAGGCACTCTTTTATACTGCAAAAGCACAATTCGATATTTTCATTAATAAGCGATAAAGTCTTGAAAAACCGTAAAAATCATGCTAAACACGCCTCTTACTGTTTCGGTCTATTTAGAGAGAGACGTTCCAGTAAGGGAACGGCCAGGGTTGCTGCCAAAGTGCTAGAAAATAATGAAACTTTCTACAATTTTATGAACATCCGATCGTACTCAGAAATCTCCTAAACACACACGACCCTATTCCAAGTTTTATCAATTGATTACACTACAGGTAGCAATAAATAATATTGTTGTGAATTGTTTTGACCTGTCTCTCCACTTTGTATATCACAAACATTACCGCAATCTGGGCCAAATAAATTTGAATCTGGTTATTTATACCTTTAGATATTTTGGAGTAGCCGAGGCGCGGCCACTTTCAAAGTTGTCCATCCTAAAAAACTTCATAGGCATATTCAACCAAATGTTTGCCAATGATGAGCAGCCGTTTGTGGAAGAATTATAATTATTATCGAGCCATCGGACTGATTTCGTTTTTTTTTTATTTATTCTACGATATAAGATTAGTACGTATACGTCCATTCTGATACTACCTGCATAAATGGCCAGCGAAACGTTGCGTTACGGCACCATGACGGAGCATTTGGTACTTGTGCTGCCACCATGCGGATTTAGTTTTCATGATGTGACGATAATTGCCCTTAAGTTCAACGATCATACGGTTACACAGGTTGTTCCATATCCGGTCAAGCTGAAGGCGACGAAGCGTACTTAGCGTGTAACTACGGACCAGCTGGGAATGTCGTAGGAAAAAAACTGGCGGAAAGGGGCACGCCTTGTTCTAAATGTCCTGCAGAAATTTCTTGCAACAAAGATTATCCTAATCTTTGCGGCGCCGAAGATGCATCTGCGTTGAGTGCTGGCACAAAGCTAACGTATAGTATTGAAGAAACATTGGCGTCTGTACTTGTAAATTTCGCGTTGTATATTATTTAGATGTTCATCGAAATAAAGATAGTTAAGGGCGCATCGCGCAGTATGGAGATCGGATTCACACTTGGCAGTCACAGGGCCACAAACAATTTTGATGGATTTGCAAAACATTGCTGTCAACATCTTAAATATTAAAAAACCGTTTCATTTCTTTAAGGAATGGGCAATGCACAATTTAAAGATTGGATGTACACTTGATTTTTGTTATTCTGATCATTGCATTTTTTGAGACAATAGCCAATATCAGGCGTAGTGACGATGTTGATTTCATATCACAACAAAATCCATACTGCGTAAGGTGGCCTTAACGTTTTACAACTTAATGGTTCTTTAGATGTTTAAACAAATACGACGTTGTTCACAGTCCATGTTTATAGTATCAACTACAAACTATACGATCAGCAAACATCCTATTTATACTCGGTTTTACAGTCAGCAAGCCAAGAGCAGAGCAGGTGCACTAATAAACATCTGATTCTTTCTGTCATTTTGCTACTGACCAATGCATCCAAACATCTCTAGACCGCACACTGGTTTGTGTGGTTATATTCGATTATTTATTATACGTTTGATTGTGTTTTGCTATTGGATGATCGGCGATTGAAACTAGTTTTGGATATTAAGACCGTATACCCTGAAGGGTAAAAGACCAAAAGAAAAATTATAGGTTAGGAATGTGGCATTGAATATTTTATTTGCTCATGTTGACTAACCTTACTCGTTTGAATTGAGGAAGCATGGCCATCTTGCCACTGCATGCAATGATCTTACGGACTGTAAAACGGCTTTTGAAATGAGATAGTGCCTACTGAGGCTTCTACTACTTAAACTTACCAAAAAACTAAGTCCCTGCTCCAATAACAGAAAATGTGAAACAAAAGAAACCCAGCAGTTTCTCACTGTTGCAACGTATATCCTATAACGAGGCACGTAGTTTTGCTATATCAAGAAAAACATAAGGAAATTTCCGCAGAGGCTAGGCTTTGAACCTTTCATATCCAACACTAAGATGACCCTACGTAATTGCCGCTTAGAGTACTAATCTGGCACGAAAAATGTTGCTTATTATTGCATGACCTATGGATACCCTGTATATCCGACTAAATGATAACGTAGGCTGCGCGATCGTAGAGCAGTTCAACGGGGAGGAAGCCTACCTAGCGTGCAACTACGGACCAGCAGGAAACATAGTAGGCGCCAGGTTGCTGATTCAAGGTGAAACCTGCTCTAGATGTCCCTTGGGGGTATTCTGCAGCCAGGAGTATCCAAATCTCTGTGGAGAAGTGGAAGGGTTGGCGTATTTCGCTGGCGGCAAGCGGACTATAGATCGACCGTTCCTTGGTCTGGTGGTTGTACTTTTTAAATGCGTTCTGTACATGCTATTCGTCTGAATATATTTTTAGCTTGACCTGTATGTACGGATACTTTCAACCTACTTTTTGACTTGCAAATTTACACAGGGATCAAGGGCCGATGACTATGTTGGAAAAAGAGTCGATTGAAATTTTAAAAAAAATATTTTGAAATTCGTAAAACAAATTGTATTTGGAAAGTAAATCTGGAAAATAATTTGAGATTTGGAAATGTTGAAAAACATTTCTTGGAAATTTCGCAAATTTGTAAAAGTCTAGACTTATTGTCAAATATAAAATAAACAGAAAATCGAAGATCTTGATTGTATCTTTAGTGTCGTTTTAAGATTGAAAATTCAGAAAAGAAATTTTCGTTTAAAAAAACTAGAAAAAACACGCTTCAATAGTAAAAAGTAGAAAATTATTTTTAACTATACGAGAGTTTCTGTTACTGCAATGGAAAGTCTAACAATCAAGTATGACTGATTAATTTAGTATAAGATCAATATAAAAATTAAGATCGAAAAAGTTAATTATATAAAAAGCATGCGGTACAAACTGTATTTAATATTATAAATAGCAACTAAAAAAAATTGTAAAGCTTTTTTACTCTAATTGAGGTTTTTGGTTAGTATCTTAGTACTTAGATTGATCTTTTTCCAATTTAATTAGTCATTCTTTTTGACTGTACTGCAGTACCACAAACTTGAAAATTATCTTTTTCTTCGATTTGCTATTAAAGCGTCCGTTAAGCTATAATTTTTTCAAAGATTAGATCCTCATTTCGTCCTTTAGGCAAATGTCAAACGATTATTTTTACTGTGGGCCGTCAGGATGTGATATTTATTAACCGTGTAACCTTGGACTTCAGCAATTATACTAAGTGACATATAAATCCGAACACCCAGTTTAAATGGTTTTATTTTAATAAAAGTTGGTGAATGTATTTATCTTACTGTAAATAACAAGTGAAAAAATTTTCTAGCCTTATCAGTTGGACATTCCGGTTTTTATACTGCTTTTTTTTAATTCACTAACGCTCTAAAAATGAATATTTCAGCCGCAGTAAAGAATCAGCGTTGGCGGATTTTGGTTCTTGACATCCTTTACGATCGGTTACGATGCCTAGAGTACGGAGACCTGTACGATTTCGTCAACTTAGTGAGTTTGATAGGGGCCGTATAGTGGGACTTCGGGAAGCTGGACTTTCTTTTCGGGCAATTGCAGTTAGAGTGCAAAGAAGTGTAGACACTGTGGTTAGGTGTTGTCAGGCATGGCTTCGAGAAGGCCGTACGCAAACAGCAAGGGGCACTGGACGCCGCCGTAGAACAACAGACCGTGAAGATCGCCGCCTAAGACTATTGGCCTTAAGGGACCGTTTCTCCACTACCAGGTCCATTGCCGATTAATGGTTTGCAGAACACGGAAGACCTATTGGCATGCGAATGAGAAGTTTTGGCTTGTTTTCATACCGGCCACACTGGGTCCTCCCTTTAACTCGAAAACACCGACGTAATCGCCTTGAGTGGTGCAGACAACGGTCACTCTGGGATCAGGAATGGAACAGTATTGTCTTTAGTGACGAGTCTCGATTTTGTTTAGGCATGCACGATGGTCGTGCCAGGGTTAGAAGGAGACGTGGTGAAAGGAGGAATCCACAGTTTTTTGTTGAAAGACATGTTCATCACACTGTTGAAGAATGCGCAGCACATCAGGGTGCATCCATACATTATTAAAGGTCAAAGGGCTTCAAAGCAGTGCAATCATTTTGAAATTTTTATCATTTACTTATTATGCTTCATTAAGTACTTATACAAAATTTTATTAAAATAAAACCATTTAAACTGGGCGTTCGGATTTATATGTCACTCAGTATATTAATGATGCACAAGGTTACGTAGAAATTCACTTACATCGACAGAATAATCAGTAAATACTGATGGTGCGAATCAAGACTACATACTGATCGTGCTGCTCAGGCGTTAGCCAAAGAGTAGTTATATCAAGAGATGATACTTGTGTCAGCTGTTCTTCAGTAGGAAAACCGATTATGATTACATCATCGCGTACTGATGTGATCCGTTAAAGACTAGTCACACCTTACGTATTTTGACTTTGCAATCGTCTCTTGGACTATTACTGATTTGGAAATAAAGGTGATATATGTGAGGATCGTACTTGGCTGCCGAGGCGGTGTTGCCAAGCCGGCATAAAATATTTATCAGATGCTACATTTATACAATGGAGTTCAGCTCCTCGTTGTTTTTGGTGGCTATTACAAAAAATCATACGAAATAAATAAACATATTGTCCTAGGGACAGGCTGTCTAGATAACTCGTGGCCATGTCAAATAGTCCGAAGATTGGTCAAATAAGTAATTTGAGGTTAAAAAACGTTTGAGACTTAACTATTCTTCTATTGAACTAAATCGTAGAGCGTAGTGCCTTGGAAGTTGAATAGTTATGTGACATCTTACAGGTTTTGAGAAGAGTTTCTCTAGCGCAAAGTGTGATAACTTTATTGGATGAAAAATATATTTCGTGGGTTGGAAATGTCCAAAAAAAAAAGTAAATTTGAACAAAAAATGCGTTCACTATTAGTGTTGGTCAATGATTTCACCTGAAAAGGATTATCTATCTGAAAACAACGCATTCATTTCCGAGTAAATGAGAACCGCCGTGTTTAGAGTCGTGCCTAATCTCTCTCTCTAATTTATTCGATTTGTCTGTCTTGTGCTTATACAAGTACTCTTTGCATTGAGGGTCCATTTCTTAGTGCGAAGAAAAGTGTAAAAAACATTGATGGATCTCGAAGCAGAAACTTCCCTATAGGCTGTTACTTTTTGCATGAGCATTCTGTATTTAACCACATGAAGCCTGTGCAACGTTGCTCAAATCAAGCGGAATAAATACGATTTTGTGACCGATGGCTACGGTTGCCTATATTGTATTTATCAAGCGGCTTAAAAATATGTCAAGAAAACCACTTATAGGATGAATACCTTCCACTTTACGTCACATACCACAAATCCGTATATATGCAATTTTAGTTTATTTTTGGGATATGTTTGAAAGGACCACTAAGCGGATTAGTAGGACAATACCGTTTCGGCCTTAGGAGGATGGTTACGGATTTGGAGCACCTGGAGCTAGCAATTTTATACCGTTTTGAATTTAGCCGAGCGTCGAAAAACCAATTTATTCTGTGGACATAATCTATCGATAATCGTTAGAGCATGTTAAAATGATTCCCGCAGTAGATCCTTTATTTCAATAGTACGAATCACTTGATGTGATATTTTTTTTAGAAACAGCTCCGAAAAACACCTTTTTTTTTCTTGAAAACTATGAGGAATGTCCTGTTTTTACAAGAGCCAAAAATTAAAGTAGCGTTGCGAAAAAATTCTGCTGTAATTTATGTAGGGGTGCTGGTAGTTTCCACCCTTCTCGGACCCTTTCAGGTTTTTTAAAGTCAAGCATGAGGCCGACATGTGTCTCAAATTTCATACAAATCGGACTATCGGTTCCAGAAATATTTGAGAAAACGTATTCTAAAAAGAAAGCGCTCTCTAACGTACAAACGAAGCACTCTTGCATAGAGGTTGATTACGTCCAATCGACTTGTTTTGAGTCAAAAACACGTGGTGCTTCTATGTGTATGGAATATTGGAACACCTTGTATGTTAAATACTCGTACATCCCGAAAACTTGACAACCACGCATTTTCTAGAAAAAAAGGCAGGATATCAAAAAAGCAACTTGTCGATTTGGAGGTCAATGTTGCAAATTGAAAAGCAACCACCATTTTTGACAGAAGATTCGTGTCAAGCTCGAGATTGCACGTGAGAATTAATTTTCATACATGCGATCAAGAGGTCATAAGTGGTCTAATCAGCATGACCTACAGCAACGTCTGAAAGGTATAGTCAACGCCAAACAAAGTAGCGTGCACGTCATCAAGGTGGGTGTGT